TATTTATTTATTTTTTTACTTCGAGAGCCAGACAAGCATATTCTCTGATAGAGACATATAGAGCTTGCCTGAGCGTCTGTAGTACGTTATCTATAACAATGGTCTTTACAGTGCTCAAATCTTGCTTGGAGAAAGGGCTATCGGTCGCAAATTTGCGCCAACAAAGTAAATTGATTTCTAGACAATCTAGTACTACAAATATATGCACTCATCAACTGTGGGTTTGAGTGCATTTTATTGCGAGTTTGTCATAACAGCCACTGTTGGAGATCGTTGCGTCTTTCGGGGGCCAACACTGTCCTCTGCAACGTTCAGAACATGCGTGGCATTTAGGGATAGAATGCGCTACATCGCAGTTAGCTTGCAAATCATGACGGTCTGACACTGTTTCCCGTGGCCCAGTGGTACAAGCTATTTACCCGCACTGCAAGTAACTGCTAGTCATGCGCAAATTTAATGATGCCTGAACAACTTTACAATGCAGTCTAGTGCTTTTCCGGGCTGGTGGGGGATTTACTGATTTAGAAACTGGTACCGCCAACGCAATCAAATACTATAAGTGCGCTGTAAAATTCTCGACAACAACAAACGCGCTTTTTCCCGGATCACATTTCTGGACAGCAGTTTATACTCTTAGCTTTCGTTCATTCCACTGCTGCAGATGAGTTAAACGTTGTATCACATGTTTTGGCTGAAGCCGGAACAATCGACTAACTGGGAAGTACTCTGAGCTGATTTAAACCTTCCCAATGTTACATGGACATCTCACACTGCCCAAAGTAATATTCAAACCTTATTTACTCTCCGAATATATTTGGATGGAAGCAGCATATTCATTAACACATCTTAGAAGATCACATCCTTGACTTGTTCCGTACATTAGGCCTGTCCAAACATCTTGCCCTTGCCTTGGAGGTAGTTCTGGTTAGTGATACTGGGATGGTTCTACTCTCCTTCGACAAGCAACGCGTTGAACCAAACACTACCAAATCCACGGTTCTATACAACCATGCAATGGTCCACAGTGGAGATCGGTCTTCACTATTTTAAAGTCTGTACAACAAGATACTTCCTTGCAAATGACGCGTAATTGGCTGCCTGTGCGCTCAAAAAAGCATTGAAGCTTGTCTGCACACTTTGCTACCTCTCAGATAACGGCGTATACTTCGCGCAGTGAGATTTATTTTCCTTTCCGAGCTGTACGGTTGTATGCTGGCAAGCGGTCACAAAACGGTGTCCTCCTGCTTTATTCGCCTATAATTCTTCGTATTTATTCTCACAGAGACCTACGTGCTATCATTCGATCTGGCTCGGCGAGCTCTTCCTACCACCGTTCATCTTTTGGATCTGTCATTCAAGGAGCACCAGCAAAATGTGCTCTTTCAATTTCGAAGTCAACTCTGTTTGAACCCAATCGGAGAGTTTATTTTTCCTCTCGTCGTACAAGAACTTTTGTAGTCTTATATTAATGATCGTTTTGAGAATCACCCGAACATCATACTACTATTCCCTCGAGTCGCTGTACAAAGCGACAGTTGTTAATTTGATCCGCCCTTGGAATAGCCACTGTCGTCATTAGACAGTATCTTCCACGTCATATTGCTTTGCCTCAATCCTACGCTGCATCGCTGCCTATCCATTTACCGGCTGGATCGATAACACGCATATCACCTGTCTACCCTAAGAAACGTGCGACTCATCTGGACTCGACGCGTCTGACCCCTCTGACTTCAAACCAGCGCCGATAGCCGCGCAACGAAAAGTGAAGCGAAGTCAAACACGGTGCGTCAATATCTCTGTCCTCTAGCTGCCCTGATAAACAGCACGCCAACTGTGAACATGCCTCGTAGAAAGAGAAAATGCGAAAAAATGGTCTGGTGTGTGCTATATGTTTGAAATCCTATCACACTAACTGCTTTGGGACGGGGTTGACAATTACCTACACCGCAGACTCGTTGTGGTTCTGCCAAGTATGCAATTCTATCCCAGTTGTTAACTGTCTACCTGTGCTACTGAAGAGGTGCGAAAGTCTAACCGAAGCGGTGGAGCAACTGGTGAGCGCCAGGGTTGCACCCATGGGAGGTAAAGGACCTGCACTTGTATGTGAAAATAACACCCCAAATTCCCTAGTCAGGCCGTAGAGGAAAGCTAGGCGTCCCAACCTTACCCAACAACTCAGCCTCCAGCAGCACCAACTCCATTCTCTCTCTCCTATAAATAAAAACATTGTCCGCCACACACCTGCCTCAACTTCTATACAGCATGCTGCACCTAGTAGTCTGTTCGCCACACACGAGACCATAAGCTGCAGTCAACCAGCCATAGTGAACAACCCGGCAAGGTACGCATCGGTTGCCGCCAAGCACACGCCGGAAAGAGCGCCGGTAACATTGGTGCGCGGACTAAAGAAAACTAAAGTGTCGCAAAACGGATGGCACCCATCAGTGCTGTCCACAAATTCACCCAAAACACCGGACACTAAGGCTTCCAATCAAAAACCAGTAGCCACCAGGCGCAACCATGGTGCCTTAAACCTTGTGCTCACAAACGTCCCCGAATCCAAATAAAATGCAATTAAGGGTAGGTTGACAGACGAGCGAAGTCAATGGGGTTCCATCTGTACGTAGATTGGTGTCCGTGCTAATTCCACCACTTTATAAAGCATCTCGCGTCACCCAAACTGATAGCACTATAGTAAACCCCGGTTACTTCGGGTAACACTAAACTCGGCGGATGTTACTGAGGCCGTGCTGCTGTCTGCGCATCGTCTTCGCAACGATCAAAATGGGGTGCGCATACCACCTGAAATCCCGTGGAAAGAACGTTCAGCGGATCCCGCTAACAGAGTGAGGTACATAAAAAATTCAAGATAAGAACACAGTGATTGCACACGGTGTTCCTTAGCTTACTGATTCCACTTTCGACGGTGCTCAGATGAACGACCTCGAGCCATGGCACTTCATCTGGGAGGCTCTTTCTCTCGAAAATGTCATGACCACCTTCTTGACAAGGATCCCCATACCACCAAATTATAAGGAGTGCAGTCCCACGCTGTTAAAAAACTTATGTTGCAATCAGAACTAACGGCACAAACCCTTCTACAGAACTAAACTAAATTCCGTAGCAGATGGCCAACAGAAATCCGTCTGAAAGTAGCCGGAACACTAGCACCTCCTAATGACAAATCAGTGGAGGCACAAGTATTAATGAAAACGCCAACTGCAGGATCTGACTCGGGGTCGGTTTCAATTATAGCCATAATATCCGCAGGAATACACAGCAGAGTACGAGCGAAAACCGGGATTCGGGGCACCTGATACTTGACTAATTAAAAAAACTCGTCTCGAGAGTTTGCAACTCATCCAAAAGCGCTTAGTCGCCGACCCTTTAGTGGTTGGCGTAAACTCACTTGCTTCATCCATCAAATCTAACACAATTTTGGGCTCCCAGATGCTCTTATGCATATCCACAAATTCCCAAGATCTACTCAGCAAATTATTTGACTTCGATCCGCATCAGCAGCTTGGGGCCTCATCGATGTCACCGAAATGTGGTTGTGCTGTGGGCTAACGGATGCCGAAATCGCGCTAACGGGCATGTCCGTTGTCCGGCAGGAACAAGCCGACAAAGGTGGGGAGGTAGCCCACTTTTTTTAACAACCAGCAATGTGAACCCACAAACAATTTGAAAACTGACGTACCTGACTCCGTTTGGTGTAATTTACGGCTGAGTAGGAACGATCTTGGCCTGTTGGTTGTTGTTTACCGCCCACCACCGTCCACTTCTGAGATAGACTGCAACTTGGTGGCTGCGTTGAGGCAAGTGATAAACAGAAAGTAAGGTCACATTCTAGTCAACGGCGACTTCAACTTACGTGCTCTCGAATCACAGGCCACACCAAGAGTGCAATGCAAAGCAGACCTGCAAAATCTGGTTTCAGACTTCCAGCTTTATGGCCACGTCACTGCAACCACCAGCTTCAAAGGAAATAACAGGCCATCCATATTAGACGGAATATTCACCAATAAAGAACTGATGCCCGACAGAGTTAAAACCCTATACTCATCCGGGCCACAACGATCATGCGACGCCAGTGTTTCATTACATGTGCTACGCGGATTATCCTAAAGAGCATGCCGAGGAATATCATACCGTAAGCAACTATGACGACCTGTCCGACCTCATTGATGCAACAAGCTGGTCGTTCTTAACAGAATTGACCCCAAGGTGGTCTGCGGATAATTCGTCAACATACTTAACAAGTCGTGGCAAGCACATCTGAAATCAAACTTTAGCGGCCTAAAAGGATGAAGTCTTTCGTAAGGAGCAGGACACGTAAATGCATGGCATTAAGGGACTTGACATGGCGCACCTACATAGCATCGCCAAACGACGATACCTGGGATGTCTACACAACGTAAATGAACCACTGTGTCTAACTCGTACGGGAGGATAAACTAAAAAACCAATAGGGTCTAGTGGAAAAGTTTTGCTCCAATCTTAAACTGTTATACAGACACGTAAACAATTTGCGCCGTGTTAAGCGCGGTATTCCTGTTCTGCGCACAGCATGCAGCTTAGCCCAAACCGCACAAGAGGCGGCCAACCTTCTTGGATCACAAGTTCGCCGTACCTTCCAAAGCGTGCAACCATCATCCACCCTGCCTAAGCTGATAACGCCGCTATCAGGGCTTAATCACATATCGTTTACCTCCGCAGCTGTATTGAAGAGACTGATGTCTCTGGACGAGTCCAGCTCCCCTGGTGCGAACGGAATTCGCCCGAAGGCGTTGAAAGTTGCTGCCATGAGTTTGGCGGCGCCACTAGCAATTTTCTTTCAAAGAAGTCTGAACGAAGTGCACTTCCCCACGATGTGGAAGCACGGAATCATCACGCCAATCTACAAAAGGGGCAACCGTGCTGAACCAGCAAATTATCTTCCGATAACACAACTTACTGTGATCTCCCAGATTACGTAGTCCATTGTAGCTGAAGCTTTGATGGGGTACTTGGAGAACAAAAAAATTCTCGTTCCGGAGCAACACGGATTTCGCCAAAGTCGCTCCTGTACCACTGATCTGTTGATTGCTCGTGCAGGCTGGACGGAATCTGTGGACGCTGGTGTATTAGCCGACGCGGCCTACCTGGATGTCTCAAAAGCATTCGACCGTCTAAAGCATCGCATTCTCCTACCCAAACTCCAGAAATATGGAATTCGCGATCCTGTTTTGGGTTGGATAGGAGACGTTCTCGAGCAACGTCACCTGAATGTGAGGGTTGAAAGCAACTTATCAGAATCCATCGAAGTTCAGTGCGGCGTACCTCAAGGCTCGGTACTTGGAACCCGCCTGTTCCTGGTTTTCATAAATGATCTCGTGCGCGTGCTTTCTTCTAAAAGTTTGCTATTTACTGATGATCTAAATATATGGGGTGTTATAGCTGCAGTGGAGGATCGCACAGCGTTACAGGAGGATCTGGACGAAGCGTACACATGGTCCATCGAGAACATGCTGCATTTCAACGTCACCAAGTGCAAAGTTGTCAACATGCGGCACAAGAGTATGCACAAGTACCACCTAGGACCACAAATTCTGCAGAGGGCTTCTCACTAGTACGATCTCTGGGTGTTAGTTTCAGATGACCTCGGTTGTTTGAGGTAGACTGAAAACGCGTCTATGAAAGCAAACCAGTACCTTGGCCTTCTTCGCAGAGCTTTCGGGAAGATTATTCCTTCAGTCTTTCCATAAATGCTTAGTGCGTACGTGAGGCAGCACACAGAATACGTTATTCAAGCGTGGTAACCCGGGCTCAAGCAACATCTCACCGCGCCGGTTACTGCACAACGTAGAGCAACGAAGGGCGTCAGAGGTTTGACCAGCCTCCCCTACCCACTCAGGCTGAAGACTCTCAAACTATACAGTGGAAGTTATCGGCGGCTAAGGGGCGATCTCGTAATGGTGTACCAGACCTTGTGAAACCCAACCACCCATGCCATTCCTTTCTGATACTCAGTCGAAACACCCAGCTAAGTGGTCAACAGTTTAAGCTGGTCACACAGTACAGCCGACTGAAATGTCGGCGAAAGTTTTCTCTCTTCGTGTGTCACAGACTTGGAACACCCTAAAAGAACATGTAATTAATGCTCCCAGCCGATATCTTTTCAAACAACGTATTGTCGAAACTGTCATATTTACACTACTTGCTCTAGCCCATGAATAACAGATGATGGCACCAATGCATAACAAACAGTGAACAGTGCCATAAACCTACTCGAGAATGAGTCACTCAAAACCCCTTGCACGAATTTGATCAAGGCTACTATTGTAGAAACTGGATTTCTGTATGCCGTCGACCCGAGAAAGCTACACACGAGTAAGCGTTGTTCTTGCTATTTATTATTTTTACTCGCTCATTACATGATCAAAAAGCATTCCCCAAATGGCTTTGTGTGCGCATATTATCATTTCAAACTCCCATTATACGGCAGTGCAGTTAAATCTGTAATGGCTCAAACCGACGATTCCATTTTTCCCTTTATCTATCTTTGCTCACTTCAACCACCCTAAGGGACATGTCAATCACCTGCTCTTATACCCGTTATCAATCATTGTTCAGATCCGCTCCCAGACACGGCAAAACTGTCAAAACCACATGAAAATGGGACGTTTTCCTGTTAATACAACCAAATGGTTATCAACAAGCTGCAGCACAGCACTTACAAAAGTGGTACCTAACTGAGGAAAGATACGCATAAAGTAACCTTAATTAAATCCGCGAAATTGCCAAACTGAGAAAAAGAAGTTACAAAATCACTGCGGTCCACTTATTTATGTCCTTGTCAGCCGTCCGATAAACGATCCATCTCAGACCCGGGATGTGTTTAACAAGTACGTTTGCTCTACCTTTAACCCCACTAATGATACCCGCGCACCATTTGCTTACCGATGAAAAGTTGTGCACAGGCGAATACAATCTCCGTGATACTTCACTTCTTATTTGTTCTACTAAATTATCATGATACGATAAACCCAAACATATACATCAACCCTCATAAAACTTGCAGGCTGCAATATTTTCATATCTACTTTTGAATCTTATTCCATCCCTCTATAAACTGGTATTATAACAGTACAATGGAGAGAAGCTGGGTTGGCTTCTCGTTACAAAGCAGGCTCTTGGAATGATGCGAGTAAGTATCATCAAAGAGGTTGTACTTAAATGCACAACAGCTCACAAGGTAGCTTTCTGAGTTCACTTTCATGTATTCCATGTCAGGTCGAGTTTAATAACCTCCTGATTAGCTCATTTGACCGATTTATCCTTCATAGTCTCTTACATTACCAAATAACATTTTAATACATACTGAATGCTCACCACTTAACTAATTTAAATGCATTTTGTGACAGCAACACCGGCCTTCGTCTTTCGACCCCTAACTCACTAGCATTTTTCTTATATCCGAGGTCCAAAATATGGCAAGCATAACTACGCCAGTTACGAATAGCCTAATCCATGTGTCCTGAGTCTTTTATTATCTCATTTGCGGATGGCTTTTCGAGGTCGTTTCTCTGTAACTCCTTTCTTATTCACTTGTAATAGCAAGAGGTATTACATTTTTAAGCGCAGTTTTGTAATTGATGATCTCATTGCCATCAAGTATGACTTACAATCACCCCATATATGTGGTTTTCTAGGTGGAAGATGTCATCCTTTATTACCAGACCTCGCGTGTCGTCCTACATATGTGAATGTAAATTGGGTTCGCTTGCCCTTGGCGGTGACACTTTCATGTAATACTTGACGCAGTGGTTCAGCATTGGAATAGCTAAATTTTTGATATATTGGAACCCAAACTTGAAAGGAGCAACAGGTTTCTGATAAAAACATATATTTTGGAGCAGTCCATTAAAGCCATATACAAAATACAAGCGTGTCAATTACAATCATATAGGTCCATGCTTAATTGCTGTATAAGGTCAAAGCAAGCACAGCGTTAATTAACCAATGGTTTCCTAATAAACTCCACCATATTGTAGGCAAATGCATGCATTACCATAAATCTTGTTTCTTTATGGCTACGTATATTGAAGGTTGACATTGCGACGGGTTTTAACACAGTTATAGAAAAACCTATTTCTGGTTATGCAATACAGCGGAACGTCCAGCAAGGTACCGCGCAGGGAACAAAAATAATTATGTGCTTAAAAATAAAGTGGCAGCAAGAAAATGTTTTCTCAACCGATTTTCGTTATGGAGTAAATTTCCAAATGTGATATCTGGAATTTAGTCAGCAATTAATTTTCCATGTTCATGCCGCAATACAAAAAGAACTATGATGTCTTGGGAACAAATCCAACAATAAATGAATAAGCTCATAAAATATATGCACGACTGATTTAGCTTGAATGCCGGTACTCAAATTTTTCAATCTTGCTCGGCAAATATCCTGTTAGAAAACACCGCAAAAGTGAGTTACAAGAGGATTCTGAAGCTTTGTGCTCATATCAACACCTGAGAAAAGTTTTAGTGTGACGACAAGAAATATCGCGCAATATAACTTATGAGCTAATTGAAGCGCACTTTTTCTTCGCAAGTTGTTTCCACTTGAGCTGCCTTGCCTACTTTTTGTCCTGTTCCCCGAGACAACAATTCGCGTAAACCTAGCGGTTCTTAGTGCTCCAAGAAGTTAGTTTTGAAGTAAACTCTTGTGCGTAAGGAGTAAATGCCACAGATATATCTAATAGCACAACCTTCTAAAACCTGCACTGTTCAGGATGTTTCCAGTGAATTTTGCTTTCTTCGGTCCGCGTGCACATACGGAACCGGACGATCCGCTTAACTATAACTGTTACTAAAGAGAAATGCACCGTTTATCTTTTATACTTATTGCATTCTCTTCTGTATTTTTCTTGTTTTCTAGTTTTGGTCACCAATTGGCCGATTTTCAGAAGGGGCGGATTATTGATTCCAAGGTCATCAGTACATCCACGCAAGGCGAATTACCACGGACTCATTGGTGATTAACCAATGTGTCTACATCTAAACAAGTAAAAAGATAAAACGTAATGAATTGCTTGTATGTTCTTTCGATATGCACATAAAAACGGTGTTAAAGATAATAAAATTCAATGTTGGTTAAGCCACACCGGAACACGGTAGTGGAATTGGAGGATGAAATCTTTCGAGGGACTGCGCGCAGAAGCCGGTTCCACGGCTGACTGCATTGCTTCAACAGGGCGTTCGACTGTATGTACATTATTACTTACTTCCAGATATTACGCAATTTAACACAAACAGGCAAACCTCTTTGAAGACGCATTACGAGTTTAACTTAACTAAATAGAACCATTGTCTATTTTCAGAGGAGCAGCGTCGAAATATTTTATTTTGGATACGGTCTTTGCTATCAGAATGCCGTGGTCTACCTCAAATTAAACCGAGGTTTCAATAGAGGTTGCTTGTCGCAATCCAACCACAATGTGGGTTCTCCAAGTTCAACTTTGATTTAGATATTTTGTGCCATGCCTCTGTACAGCTTGATCAGAGTCCTTAATGAACTGTATCTCGCTCCGACGAGAGATATATTTATCAACGGCTCTCTTCCTGCCCAACCTACTGAATCTGTTAGATATATGCCTTTTAGTCATCATAATACGTACTTCCATTGTTCCAGTTTTCATTGTACCCCAACCTCATAATCATTCAGTCAACGTGAGACAACCTACATTGTCACTTTTAAAACCAGCACTTTCGCATTTTATACTGTATATACAGCCTTGCACACTCATGTCTTTTATTGAAACTTTGTCGTCAAGAAAAGCAAATCCTCTATACATGCCACTAAATATGTGACAATTCAGAGATCCTTATAAATTCAGATTCAGAGAAGTCCAATCATTAGGTAAGTTTGTTTTAATACTTCTGCCTATTTGGCTATTTTATACGTTGAAAATTCTTGGAGATGCATCGACGACTTCCATCTTGGATCTGGTGTGTATGCTCACAGTGTTATTGAACCACTAAAGAAGCTGTGTTGTGGATACATATATTCCGGATAAAATAGCATCTTATTTGCAGATAAAGGAAAGGTAACTATGTATATTGAATTGGCAGTTAATTACATTCTAATCTGCCAGATGCAGCTACGAAACTATCCATTCGGTTTAAAATCCTTGAATTTCTATTATGCAAGATATTCTGTTGTTACGCATTCCTGCCGTAGCAGTGGTACTCATATCAGCTTACGTGGTGGAATTCGATGGATTTCTCGGAAATTAGCAAGCAAAAATGCAGACAGCGTAAGCAGTTTATTTGTTTGAAATTTGTGGACAAGTAAAAGACTTTATAATTTTATGCCAAATGTGGCATTTTCTGTTGCATGTGGAGTTTAAGTTCCAGTTGCATTGATACATACTGTGGAAAGAGTGGGTTAAGCAACCGTGAAATTAAATATACGGATGTTCTATATTTGCTGAGGTAAATTAAATTCCGTTAACTATGAAAAACAGTCCTGGAAAACCAACGGTTTGTAAATCAATATGCTAGAGATGGTTTCTGTAATGCTTCTTAAAATTTGGGTTCCCCGTACTGCATATTAAAGCGTTTAATAATC